ACTCAGCATTTTGTGGCTAACATGTAACAATCATTAGTAAAATCTGGTTTCTATGATGAGCAGTGACTTAAACACAGTAAATGATACAGTAGGATAAGGTGATTCTTGGTGCTAGTAAAGGGCTTGACATGTCTGAAATTTTAACCTATAAGGGAGTCTTGGAATATCAGGGGAAAAAATGGGTGGAAAAAGGGATAGAGACAAGCGTGTGCCCAGGGATACATCCGCAGGAAGGGTTAGCCTACAACAGCACAGGTGATCTTTCTAGTCCAAGGGATAATGCAGAGTTTGCAGCACCCTGCTGCTACCTTTCTTTTCCCAAGGATTAATGCAACTTCGGATTCCCAAAGTGTTTCTGGTTGTAAATACATCAAAACTGTGAACATCTTTCCAAGAGCAAAGCTTCATGCTCCCATGCAAACACTTCCCCAGGTATGTGACTTACAGAATGCTTCTCTAAATGCAGTTATTAAAGACATCTATAAGATCCAGAGCCCTGCCTCGTGTTCCTGTTGCATGTCAGAGTTACTAAGGAAAATCAAGTAGCAAAAACACTGGCACAAACCTGCAGAAGGGCCTTTCCTCAGCTCATACAGATCCATCTACACCCTGCAAAGACATATAAGTACATGTAACACATGAAAAACAGCAGGGAATGAGTGAGAGAGAGAAATAAGCTGTGGAAGTGTGGAATGGTCATCACAAAGCAGACATAGCTGGCAGCCTCCAGCCAGAAGGCTCCTTTCCCTTTTCCTTGCTGTGCAGCCCACCCCATCCTGTACAAACACACAGAGTTACTTTGGTGTCCTGACCTGACCACCACTTTGAGCATGCAGGTATTTCTTCCTTTAGTTTTCCGCTTCCTGCTGTAGGTGGCACTGAGCCGACAGCAGAGGCTGTGTCCAGTTTCAGCAGCAGATGAAACCCACAACCCTGTGATCAAATACCTGGCCACAGGCCCTGCCCCATGGGCACGGTGCCGCTGCACAGTGGGATATTAGGTCACGTTTATATTGTTCTGCCTATTCCAGGAACAGCCAAAATTAACCACCTTGATCCCCCACTGAAATTCATTCTTATCCAAGAATTTGCTTCCTGGAGAATGCTGGTGTTTCAAAGGTTTGTTCATAGAGGTGCCTTGTTCTCAGGAAGGTGCTATTTTAAAACCTTAAAGGCTCCTCCAAGACATTTACTCTGAGTGGTTAAGGACTGCACCCTGCTTAGTTAACACTGCTTTGCCCTCGGTTCCAGCTGAGCAATGAGGGTGGCTTTGCAGATTAACATACCTAATGGCACCAGAGGCAGGGAGGTGACAACTGCCCTGGCTCCTCCAGCTGCCCAGGAGGTGCTTGGCAGGCACCACTGCTTCCAGGCACTGCCAGGGCCAGGGGATGGCTAATCCAGGATGCTTAGTCTGGATTTAGACCCAGTCAATCTGCCTTGAACACTGCCAGGGATGGGGCAGCCACAGCTTCTCTGGGTACCCTGTGCCAGCACCTCAGCACCCTCACAGGGAAGAATTCACCCTGTGCCTCTAACCAGGCACAAGGAACTGAACTGGCACAAAACCTGAAGTGCAAAAAGCAACAAGAAGCATTCCTACCTGGGATGTATGGAAAGAAGGGCAGTGTTTGTAAGGAGGCAGCTGGCTTGTGAGACATCTGCTGGCAATACCACACATCACTGAAAACACGATGTCCGGTGGCTGTAGATAGCACCTTATGGCCTGTGTGATATTGTAGTCAGCATAAGGTAACCAGTGGGACCTTGTAAGGGTGGCAGAGTTCCTGACTGCTGGGCTGGAAGTTGGCAGCCACCTGGGAAGTAGTGACGATGAACCAACCGCCCACAGGAGATGATCCTTCAGGTCCCTTCCCACCCAAACCACTCTGTGAGTCTGTGATTTTCAGCAAGCAGGCAGGCCCAGCACTGTGCCCAGTAACTTCACATTAAAGTAAATGGCAAGAACTGGATGTTGAGACTGTTCAGAGACACCTCTAAATACCTCAAAGTCCTGTGGGATCTCTGCCTGTGCTGTTCTGTTTGCTTTGTCCCGGGTTCCCCTTTCCCAGACCCCAGCTGTTCCCAGCCAAAGCCGGAGGAGCTGCACTGATTATCACCCTTGCTGGGATGTGGATTGGGAATCTGACTTTCCACTTACGCCAGCAGTTAGAAGGCTGCTCTGAAAGGCAAAGTGTCAGACACCCTTGGTAGGAGCTTGTGAAATGCAAAGGGGTGGGGGAAAAAGAGAGGAGAGGAAATAAGGTCTCAGCAGCAGGGTAGAGCTGTCACTTCACCTGGATTGTGAAGGAAAATGGGAGAGCAGCCCTGGTGCAAACGGAACCATGGAAGGATCAGACAGGGCAGTGTCACTCAGCTAGCAGTGGTGGTTGATACAGCTTGAATCTTCTGTTACCTCTCCTAAAATGCAACGATAATGGAGAGAAAGCGCTGCTGTCCTGCCCAAGCCTCCCTCATGTTGTAAGAGCAATAGATTTCCTCATGTCCAGCTCCACTGAACATAGCAGGACATCACAGATTATCTTGTGAGCAGTGCTGTGAAGGCAGGTCAGAGCTCAGGCTTGCTGTAAGCTGTAACTCAGACATGCTGCCACTGCCAGCACCTACCCAAGAGCTTAACTGAAAGCCTAGGACTCACAGGCTGCTGAAGCCCTTGCTGTGAGCAGCACACCCCCCCTCCTGAGTGCCATGTGTGTGCTCTGCACTGTCAGTAGCACAGGAGGATGCTCAGTGTTCCAACACCGGGTTTGCCTTAAAACACCTTTACATTTTTGGACATCATTTCTGCCTATATATGGTCCACTACACCTCTGCACTGATCTCTGAGGCCAGGCAGGATGTGGTTCTGGGCAACATGATCTAGTTGAAGACGTCCCTTGCTCATTGCAGGGGATTGGACTGGATGAGCTTTGCAGGTCCCTTCCCACCCAAACCATTCTATGATTCTATGTTACAGCACAGCATAGATGTTAATGCAGAACCACGCTGCTGCCAGGTACATAAGATGTTCTTCCCTCAGAGGCTGGGGTGCTGCTCAGACACAAAGGATGACATGGCAGCTCCACAGCCTCTGTATGCGTGACAGGTTGTACCGATACATAAGCACACAGAAAGGATCACATCAAGCCAGGAAGGAAGGTGACAAGGGATAATTTCCCACAGCACGGGCTGGTGTCTGGGTGGCAGTGCTGCATCCACAGCATCCTGCTCAGGGGTTTGTGCTGTAGAAATCTCTGGAGTCTTCCCCACACCCTAGACATGGGTGTTAGTGATGCCCAGCCTGGTGTGCAGTCACCCAGGCTATCTATGGTTATAGCTCTCTAAAAATCATCTCCCCCCCAGGCCTCTGCTCTGTGCTTACCACCAGCCTCATGGTCCTGGATGGGGCCCCAGAGTAACAATGGGTCTCCTCTGCCACTGCATCCCCCTCCCCAGCCCCCCACATCACCCACATTCACACAGACCCACTGCTCTCTTTTAGGTACCTTGTGTCCACAGGACAGCAGAGCAAAAGGGGAGCCAGATAATGGTGCAGAATCCTTGTGGAGGGCAGAAGAATAGGGCTCAGTCCTTGTCCACCCCACTGGTCCCACTGTCCATCCCTGGTGCAGTGCTCTGCTCCCTGCAGCCTGGCGCCGACTGCACTGGATGGGATTCCTCCCAGGCCTGGGGGGTGATGTCTGGAGTCCAAGCCCTGGAGGGCAGCCAGGGTTAATGCTCTTAATTCTCAGGCAGGAACCAGTTCAAATACTTTCTTCCCCAGGAGCAGTGCAGATAAATCACCGGCTTTGTTCTTCAAAAGATAGCTGAGCTCAGGGCCTTCAGGCTATGCCCTCTTCCAGGAGAGAAACTGGGACTGAATGCCAATGCCATTAAGAGAGATAGTACATAGTCATGAGAAGGAAATGGCCCGGGATCAATCTGGCTCGCCCAGTTCTGATTCCAGTAACCCATGGTGCTGTAGCCCAGCGCTGGTGACTGGTGAGTCTGTGTTTCTGCCTTCTTCTCTCCCCTTAAAGCTCTTCTTTTCCCACAGACATTTACACAAGTGGAAGCTGCCTGCCTACCAACAGGCCAAGGTGGTGGTGGTTGCAGGGATGCCTGGGTGACCTCAGAGCCAGGGTCCTGCAGGGCAGCAGGGACACTTGACATCCAGCCTTCTTGATGAGACTCAAAGCCATCACAGAGTCCAACAGGTCTCTCTTTTCACCTAGCCCATGGCCCATGGCCACCCTATCCAGTCAGACAAACCCATTTCAAAGCCCTCCCATCAGGTTCAGTCAGGGCCTCAGGGACCACATCACACAGAGATGGACAGCAGTGACCTCTTCATCCCCAGAGCCACTTGTCTACTGAGAAGTCTGACACGAAGTATGGAAATCATTATCATTGGTGCCACTCGGGCCAACAGTTTGGTACAGTTCAAAACCCATTGTCAGTGCATCTCTCCAGGGGATATGCTGGTCAGATGTCATTCCGTAAGGAATGGTCAGGGTTAAAGCACTTCACCCGGGAAGGGAGGAGCACAAGCAGCTAATCTCTTCCTGCAGTACAGCTGGGTGACTGCCTGCAAGCTTTGGCACTGCACTGCTGCAGCTCACACTCAGAGCATCATCTCCTTCCTGTCACAATCATAGAATGGGTTGGGTTGGAAGGACCTTAAGATCATCTAGTTCCAGCCCCCTGCCACAGACAGGGACACCACACACTAGTATGTTTCTAGGTTTTCTCTTTAAGAAAGCCTTGGCTTAACCTCTGCAGCATCTCAGGTGGTGTGGGCTCTGCTCCACCTGCAGATCCAGCCCAGTGCCAGTCCCTGCCTGGGTACATGAAATTTTGCCACAAGTGGGCAGGATCACACACAGGTAACCAAGAAGAGCTGTTACCATGGGTATCTTCGCATGAGCTGGGCACCTGGGTGCATTCAGAAACATGACAGACTTTCTTTCCCTCCACTTTAATACAAGCAAACACATGGGTACTTTGATAATTGTGGTTTATTGTTGCCTTGAGCTTTAAGTACACAAAAATATCCCTAAACTGAAACAACTGCAAGATACAACCAGAAAAATACAGGTCTGATTTCCTGGGGTAATGGTATGACTTGATGATCTTAAAGGTCTTTTCCAACCTAGCTGCTTCTATGAATCTACGATTCTACAAACTGTTACTTGTGTGAGCAAACCTAAACTCCAATATTCCCATTGACTTCAGAACTCTCAGTTCTGTTTGAAATTCTCCTAAGCACATGGATCAGGGGCTGAAAATATGATCCTTTGTGTTCCAGGTAATATTTTATGTACATATATACATACATATGATACATACGTGCATACCTATGTTCCTTTGAGCTCTAGGCAATGTTTTATTTACATGTATGTATGTAGACAGTATGTATATATCCAATATGTATGTAGACAATACATACAGGTATTCATATACTATATATATGTACACATGTGTGTGTGTATACAATATATACATGTAAGTGCTTCTGCTCTCCGGTTCATCATAAACACGACTTGGACAGACAAGGACCAAACCAGGAGTCTAACAATGAAAAGCTGAACCCATGTATTACTTCTCTATCTGGTGATGATCATTCCTCCTTTGCCTGTAGCTGCTTGCAATACTTCAGGGTAGGGACTGAAATACACTGGATGCAGGCCCATCAAATTCAGTGAAATTTGGCTAGCACCAAGAGGGTCCTAAGAAGCATGAGGCTCCATAGGTACCCCTCACACAGTTATACATGAAGATGGATGCTCTTCTGAGCCCATTTATATGGACGGTGCCTTTAAGTGCAAGCTCTCTGCAGGGTAGTGGGGTGCATGCTGTCCCTTGCACACAGGTATGTGGGCGTCCCCCCAGCACCTTTATCACTGCATAGCTGCAGCCTGGGGTGTCTTTGGGAAGGGTTGTGAGGATCCAGGGCCTGGGTAGCACCCTGGCTGGCCCCACACCTCACACCAGTGCCATGCCATCCGTCACACAGCCGCACTTCTCGATGATCATGTTGGGAAACTCGGCCGCCTCGATCTCTGTGCGGTTGCCCCTCTTGACCAGCAGCATCATGGGCAGTGGGGAGCTCTCCACCCCGGCACAGGCACGCTCCCCATAGCCGAAGCGGCGCAGGGTGCTGGGGGCCTGCAGGCAGCCCCCCGAGCACCTGTAAGCCTGGTACCCCGCTGGCTCGATGACCCAATGCTGCGCCCAGGGGAGCTCACGGAAATTCACGTAGTGCTTCTGCCGGCAGCAGGTGGATTTCCCCTTCACTGCCTCCTCCCTGCAGTCCCCAGGGCCCCTGTGTGCCAAGGGAGAAACAAGAACTGATGCTGTAACTGGAAAGTGGGATGAAAGAGAAATAACCCTCCCTGTTAATAGCACCCTGCCATGTGAAACTGGGGCAGTGATGGGGTTTCATTTGAATAGGCAGGCAAAAAATATGGGAAGAGGAGAGGTGGGATTCAGCAGCAACTCTTTAACTCCTCCAGTTTACTTGTGAGGGTGAGAGCTGCACACCTTTTGTTAGCACAATAATTCAGGGCCACTCTTATACCAGAGTACAGATTTACCTTTCATACGTACCCATAGTCTTCCAAGTTGAGGGTGTAAAGCACCAGTTCAGGTTTGCTTAAGGCTTTATCCCTGGGGTCCTGAGAGGTGAAATGCACGGCTTTGGCCATTTCTGAGGCATAGCTGCCTACCCTTTCTCCCTCAATCCAGACCTCCAGGAACATTGGCTCCCGCCTCTTGTTTCGCTGCCAGTAATGCACGGCCTGTGTCACATCAAAGTTCTTCCAGCCCGACTCACGTATAGGAACCAGCCTGCACGACAAGGGCTTGGCATTAGAGAAAAGCCCATCACACAAAGCCCAGGCTTGCAGCACTGTCACTGCAGCAGAATAATTTGCTCCCCATAGATTGTCACACGCCTTGATTACATGGTAATTTTTGCTGAGCACTCTGATGAACACAACAGCAATTAACACACACCTCAGAAAGGAGCATGGGGATCTAACAGACACGGAAGGGCCAAATAAAACTCTCTGTGCGTGCTCATATTAAGGTATTACTTCGTGCTCATACAGAAATATGGCAGTGCAGGGTTAAATGCAGCCTCAGGGTTAGTGAGGCTGGTAAACACCACAGCATTCCCCTCCGCTCCTGTCCTGGCTGCACCAGGGCTATAAGTTTCTACCCACCCAGAAAATTGGTTTGATGTCTAATTCTGCCTTCAAGGGTTGTAAAACTTCCACAGAGCTCAAGGCTACAGAATCAGATGCTTTTTGCATAGTTTACTTATTGAAACCAGGCAATGAGGTGGCCAATTGAAAGCGTATCAGCTGCCAGTAACCCGTGTGAGTTCAGAGTGAAACAGAAGTGAACCAGGTGGAGTGTTTTAAAGGGGAAGATCTGGCAGTACATGGCACTGTTTCACACAGAAATAGATCATTTCAATGAATCATCATATATTGCAGTCTCAACCTAATATCTGCTCTTACAAACTCATTCTGGTTTTAGAGACTATAGAGCCTGATCCTACAGATGTAACCCCATCAGACTGACTGGAGGCACAAACACATGACAACCAAACCCAGCCCAGAGGACCCATACCATGTAACTAGAGTCCTGCCTTCAGGAGAGGTCCCTTTCTTACCTGGAGTCTATCAGGGAGGTCCTGTTGGTGCCATCGTGCTGCCGCTGCACCCAGTACACGCTGACTCTGGCATTGGAGACGGGCCTGTGAGACTGCCTGGCAGGCAGGTTTGCTCTGTCCAAAGGCTTTTTGAAGAGTTTCAGCTCAGCCATTGTCACTTCACTGTTCTGAGGTATTCTGCCCTCCATGTCGAAGATCAGGTTCTGGCGTGTGCTGGTCTCAGAGTAGAGGGCTTCTCCTGCCAAGGAACAAAACAGACAGCCTGTCATTGCCATCCCAGTGAGCAAAGCCCCCACACTTCATCCACTATTATCATCACAACACACTCCTTCCATGCTTCCCCATCAGCCCCTGTGGCAGAGACAGCCACTAAACACACCTTTTCTAATGCATACTTAAATCAATGTCTTGCAAATGCCCTAATTCTTCTATGTCTGAGCCTCTGTAATCTGAAGGAAAGAAATCTCCTATATCATTTGACGCCAAACTGAGCAAACCCCAAAAGGTGCACATCACATTGTGCCAGGACTGGGCATGAGAGCAGGAAATTGCCCCACTTGCAATGAGAAAGTGTTTTTGCTTGCTGCCCAGGGTGCTATGTATGCCTTTTGGAAGTGAAACAAGTGTCCTTGCAGAGCTGATTTCCTCCTTGATATTCTTTCCAGGCAAACAAAACCAAATCAAAACAAAAATACAGGGGAGAATGAAATATCCTCAAAGAGATGTGATTCTTATCAGAGGACTTTCTAGACTTTTGACGCAAAACCTGCCAGATCTGCACTTTGTACTGATATTTTTAACATCACTTTGCCACCTGTCCAAAATGTTACCTGGGTACCAAAGATTTTCCCTTCTACTAAGGCCCAGCAGCAGCCTGCCCCACTCTGGGACCCACTCTCCAGGTGCAAGGTCTTACTCATGCATGTTACTTGCCTCTCTTCTACTCAGCTCAGGTTTGGACCCAGACCCAAACATCATTCCCTCCGTGGGTTTGCCTGTGCCCATCCTGCTGCCTCCCACGGCAACTGCACAACGCTTCTGAAGTTCCCAACAGTGACAGCAGAAACATTACCTGTGTTGCCAGGGATCCCCCTGAGGATGCCGGCCAGGCTGGGCAGAGCTCGGCGCTTCACCCTTTGCCGCTTCAGCATGGAGATGTATTTGTTCTTCACATGGTCTGGGATAACCAGATCCACCAAGTCTCTCCTATGAAGTGTAGGGACCTCAGAGAGCCCCAGCTGCTTCAGCAACACCTCCTTGAACCCCTCCTGGGTAAATGCTCGGACTGTGATGACCAGGCAGAGCAAGCAGAGCATCCGGGTGAACCTCACATCCATCCTCCTCTGTCAGCGAAGAGCTGTCTGCCCAGCAGAGATGAAGGGGGGATGTCTCTCAGCAGAGATGTGGTGGCAGGCTGCCTGAGCGGGGTGCTGGGGTTTTATAGCCAGCCTCGTCCCACTGGCACAACAAATTCCACAAGTGGGGATGAAGCAGAGAACTTGAAAGGATCACTTCCCCATCAATAGACACATGCCAGTTTAACACCTTCATCCACTGCAAAGTTAATACAAAATGGTTTAGGGGAGCTTCCAGATTCCTTCAGAGGGAAGAAGTTTCCATTCTTTTTTAACTCCCTGTAAACTTCTGCCCAGAAAACCCCTGTGTGATCAGTGTCTCATGTTCAGCCTAGGTCAGGGAGGAAACACATCTGCAGAGTACATTGCTTTAGGTACCACACCATATGATTCTTAAAGGAAGCATCAATCTTTACCATAGGGGACTTGCTACCTAAAATATCCACTATCAATCAGGCGAATAATGCTTTAGCTGGAAGTCCATCTTTATGGCAAGCATTAAAAAAATCATTTAAAATCTCTTTTTGGGGGGTTGGTGCTGCTTTGATCTCTGAATATTTGTACCGAGCACATGAATCAATGCAGTGAATCACAGCAGCTGAATGGTTTATGACCTTTTACACTGCTCCTGAATCACAGAATGTGGAAGATGTACAGGTCTGGCATTTTAGAAAAATGCCCCATCACTCTTTATGGATTCCTGGGGGGTTTCATAATACTTGTGCTTAAGAGAAGAAGGCTTTATATAAAGGCAGATCACCTTTCGGTGAACATGAGAAACCACTCTGCTTTTCCCCAGCATGGATGAGGAATATTGGTATTTTGAATGCTGTTCAGTCTCTGGAGAGCTGACCTGAAGGCTGGGGGATGTGTATGGATGTTTGCCTTGAAGTCAACCTTTAAACTTGAAGCTCACATCCTCTGCTTCCCTGGCCTTTGCTGGCATAAGATGTGGAAGTCTGGTTTTGAAACAAATCCCAGGAGAAGCACACTGAAAAAGAATAAAATGGGGTTGATAACAGTGATGGAGCATGGCACTTGGTCAAATTCTCATGCTCTGCAGCACAGACATGCCTGAGCATACATACAAATGTCTTCAGCATGAATGTCTCTGTAAATGGTTTTAAATTGGTCTAGTCTGATCCAGTGTCCAGGCTGAATACTGTGCCCTGGGAAAAGCCTGGCTAGAAGAACCTGTACAAAAGCAGCCCTTTGTGGTTTATCCCTCCTTAAAACAAGCATCAGCCAAGGCAGAATGGTTTGTACACAGAGGAAGGCAACAAAGTGGCCTGAAAGGGCCTAACTAAACACTTGCGTTAGTGAACATTTTGTCTTTATAACCTTGCAAGAAACTTGCCTCCTTAACCATGAAAAAGCCTCCATTAAATGTTAAAGGGGCACCTTATTTAGCTGAATTGAGTTTTAAGGCTAAAATGGAAACACAGACTACAAACTCACAGTCTGTGCACAGCCCAAGGCAGTACATTCTTTAATCTTTTCCTTTGTAGAGCATCTTCCTCTGAACAATTCCATATTTTCTGTTATATTCATTCCAAGACACAAATAAGAGTAAAAAATATCCACTTCAATGACTGCCTTAACTTCAACTCATGTCAGAAACTCCTGCTCTTGCAAGCAAGAGGAGGGAAGGGGTTTATGTGATACTTCTGTGACACTCTCAGCCCCTTAGGAAGGCTCAGTATGCCTGGCTCTTCCCCCTGTAGTGCCTCCCCAGCTAAACAGCACATGACTGCTTCTCATTGCATGAAACCAATGCAGTCACACCATGAACCACTTCAGAGACTTGGGGCACAAACTGCACCTAAGCAATGCTCTGGTGGCTGACAAAGTTTTCTTTAGATCTGCTCTGTAAGTGTTGGATAGCTCAGTTCCAGCAATGAATTTGTTATATTTATACAGTGATAGTCACCTGAGTAAAACTGCAGTTCATGGATTTGTAATGGTCTCTGTCATGTCAGAAGACCTGATCCTGTAAACCTTTATCCACCCATCTTTCACTCTAGAGAGTGGTCCTACTGTGTAAAGAGGGCTCTTCAGAAACCCATAACATGAAATGGAAATGTTCTGGCAGCACCTGGCTTTCCTGGATCCAGACGGGATGCGGTTTCTCCTGCAGCTGATGTCTAATCTACCAGGACTCTTCACTGTCCAGTGTGTATTGGAAGGTGATTTATGGACTTCACACATAAAATTATTGACCAAACACAGTTGAAGCTCAGCTAAGAAGAAAACAGAGGATGTGGATTGTAGGCTTTTCACAGGAGAGTGATTATCTGGTCCAATTGGAGGATTTGCCATTCCCCCTTTGTCACACAAACAAGAAAAAGTCAGGAATTTTATAATAGCTCTTTTTGTGTGATGTGTATTAGAACCTGTATGGCACATTGGAAATGTCAAACAGAGGATTTACAGAGGCTGCAAGGGATTAAATATGAACAACTCCCAGTTTTAAAAGAAGCCAGTGCTTAGGGAAGAGAGAATCTTTATGTTTAAGCTTTAATTTCATTACAAATGGTTCCCCATGACATTTGCTGGGTGTACCTATGCAATGGGGTTTGGGAAATAAATCCAGCAGGTTCAGAGAGAAAGTGTGAAAGGCTTAGCCTACTTATGTAGCCCTTACCCTGGGATAGAAGAATGTTTCAAATGTATTTGCAGTATGTCAGCGAGGATCTAAGTATTTTCAAGATTTGAATTTCCATGGACACAATTCTTTTGCATTACAATTGAGCCCATAGTAGAACAGCCTTTGCCTGAGTGGTGTGAAAGGCAGTAGCTTTTGTGTGCTCCAAGAAATGCCCTAATTTGTGCAACAAGTTTGTTGCACAGAGATGGGAGCACACCTCTATGTAGGTTTTGGTCTGATATGCCCCCAGATCAGGGTCTTTTGAATCCAGGAGTATGGAAGTAAAAACAGTAGTAGTTAAGATGCAGGTATAAACTTGCCAAGTTAAGAAAGGAATTCAAGTAGATGTTCTGTTTCATATTCTTTTCCAGTCTGAAGCACACTGAGATTTACATAACTAACACACCACCACCAAATAAGCTGGTCATGTGAAGGGCTGGGTTATGGGTTTCAAAAGTGGGAGCAAACTGCAGCTGATGCATGAAATTATGCCCTTCTCGTGCTGCCTCACCAACACACCACAACAGCCACCAGCCAGTGCTTCAAACTTGATACCCATTTTAAGCCCAGGTTGCACACCTTTAAGTGGGATTTCACAGGCATCTTTGGCTTCTTTCTTGACTGGCACAGTCTGTGCTGGCGGTGGAACCCCCACTCCTCTGCAGAGACCGGCCCTGCACCAAGCAAGTCCAGACAGAGAACATGGAGCTCACCAAGCTGGAAAGCCACCCCACTGCCAGCAGACAGCAGCTCCACTTCTCTCAGTCTGGGTTTAAGCCTAATTTCTAAATAGTGACCAAGGCAAAAAGCATTTCCATTTCCCACCTCTCAAGCTGCACAGCAGCTTCAGTGCAGGATGAGAATGAGATGTCACTAAGTGCAGCAGACAGTATTCACTCATGAATATTGTCTGAGGGATCATGGCTTAGCCTGCCCTCAGCGCAAGCATGGCTGGAGGTGTAACACAGTGCAACACTTGTCCCACCCCCAGCAAAGAGGGAAACCTGTACACTGATGTTGCCTTTAGGCAAGGAGAAGGGCAGTATATGCCTCACTCCATCGGCCTGTGTGGCTCCAGGGATGATGCAAAACAACTAGCGCTACTTCACAGAATCACAGAATGGTTTGGGTTGGAAGAATGTTAAAGCTCATCCAGTTCCAACCCCCTGCCATGGGCAGGGATACCTTCCACTAGACCAGGTTGCTCCAAGCCCCATCCAACCTGGCCTTGAACACTGCCAGGGATGGGGCAGCCACAGCTTCTCTGGGCAACCTATGCCAGGGCATCACCACCATGACAGGGATGAATGAAAATGGGATATGCCTGTTGAAAGGTACTGGGAAACCATCTTGCCAGGGCAGTGGCTTTCAGTCCTCCTCTACCTCTAAGGAAGCTGCTCTTTCATCAGAGCATGAATAGCTTGCTCAGTGTGCAGAGTCAGAAGAACAGCACCCAGAACTTTGGTGAGGCCAGCATAGCTCATGAGCTTGCATGTCTGCTCCCCATAGCCTCAGCCCACTCTGCTAGAACCTGGCATGGAAAAGGTTCGTAAAACATGGCCTGATAACACAAGACATCCAGCTTTTATCTGGCTCTCAGGGCCAGGCTGCAAACAGCAAAGCCACTCAATGCAGAGCACTGATCTGCACTAAATCCTTTCTGCTGGTCATGATTTGTTCCAGAATTTGGCCGTGTTAATTCGTGTGCCAAAAGGCTTTGTGCCTGACTTGCCTGTCCTTATCTAAGCATTTCTATGCACCACCACCCCACGCCCAGAGCAGATGCATAAATATGGACTTTACATCTGCATTGTGGACTCTGGCTAATAGGACTCTGGGAAATAGAACTTTGTGTCCCTTGTCTGAGCTGAACCATGTTCATTCTGACCTGATAGTGCACAAAACTCATACCATTGCTACCACAGCCTTAGTCCTTAACGTTTGCTCTGCCTGCCAGCTAATGAGCCAATTCCAGTAGCAAGTTTTGTGTAGCAATCATCTGCTTGAGCTATACAGAAATTATCCAATTCATTTAACCTAGGCTAGGACAGGAGCCTGCTTTTCCTCAACACCTGCCTACGCTAGACTGCATTGGCTATCTCCAATGAAATGTCTTACAGATTGCATGTCCTGTTGGGTTCCTCTCATAAAATGCTGATGATGAAGCCCCAGGCAGCAACAAGAGTAATATTTCCTTATGTACTTATCCTGTAATGCATCCAGCATAGTAAATCCCCCATTTTATTTGAGAGATGTTGCAAACTTGGTCTAATCTTAAACTCAGCTTATGCAACTCCTGGTGCTATGTATTGCACTGACTTCAGCATGCCTTCCATAGGCAGGCTCCTGCTTTTACTCACAGGCTTGTTTTGGTCAAACAGCCCAGACAAAAGGATGCTTGTTTGAAGAGGAATGGATAAAACGTCCAATGTCCCACCATGTCCTTGGTCAGCTGATGTCAGCTGGCTTGCTTGCAGAGTTTGTGTTGGCAGCATTTGCAAAGTACCAGTGTTCTGGCAGAAAAGAGATGTCCAAGACTTTTTAACAGAAAAGCAAACACAACTGTTTAAATACAGCTTTTTCTGTCCCCTCTGCAGCCTCCTCCCCACTGCCTTTATCTGTGCCTTGTTTGGAGCTGGGGAAGCAGGATTTGTTACCACTCTGATGGCCACAGAAAAGTCAAAACCACTGACATTTAACAAATGCTGCTGAATCAGACAAATAAGCATTATGTCCCTAAGTTGCTTGTTTTACACCACAGGCCACTTCATTAAGGAATGTCTCCATTACTGAGAAATAGCTGTAATTTTTAGGAGCACCATTTAATTTTCTAATGAGATCCCATTTATCTGCCTAGCTAACTAAAATGCTGCCTCCTTTTTCCTCTCTCTGCAGCTGTGTGTTGACACTGTAAAAGTTTATCAGACTTCTTTTTAAGAGTATGATTTTCCTGCCTTAGTGATGGAAGTTAAGACTCCACCTCTGGGCCAGGCTGCATAGGCTCTCCCTGCTCTTGGTGGTGCATGCTGCTGAGTTGGCCTTTAACCAACACACTCCAGTGAATGTCACCATGAGGGCTCAGTGTGTGACCCTCTCAGCTGCCATCTCTATGGGTGGACTTGGCAATTCTGGGTTAACAATTGGACTTGATGATTTAACGATCTTTTCCAACCTAAACAACTCTGTCCCATTCCCTTTACAGATTCTGTGCCAAGTCTGTGTACTGAGTGGCCTTCCACTGACTGAGAAATGCCCCCATTTTCCTGTCATGCTAATACATTTGGAAAACTATTCGTATTTCATCTGTGGCAGCAAGTAGCCTGGCTTACTTCTGGATCGTACTGCCTCCAGTTAATTTTAACTCTAGTAACTTCTGCTTCACTGAACAGAATTCCCTTTTTTTTCCATGCAAGTTAACTGGTTTTTCCCCAAGTCAGATAGATAAAGAACAACACTGTATGTTAGCAGCTGTTATTTATTTGTATTATCAGAAGGAGCTGAAAAAGCAGAAAGATTATGAAGTAACATATTAATGAAAGTTGAATAATTTGCATTACTAACTTTTCTGGAAGATGTTTTTTGTTCTGCAGGCCAAAAATAAAGACCAAAGGCCAAGATGAGTGAGATCTAAAAGGAACCTCTTCTGTTAAGCCCTGTGAGCTGTCATACAATGTTAGTGTAGTGCAAAAAAAGGCTGTTCCTTGTGTGGAAAATTACAACAAACACTGCAAGATTATAGAACACGAAAATGTGCACAAAGATTACAAGATAGACCTGATAAATACTTCAGACTTCTCTAATTTGGTGCATCAGATGGAGTGTGGAGTAACTGCCTAAAGGTTTCTGTTAGACCTCACTGAGATACTTACAATTAACTTGGGCAGCGCCTTAGCAAACACACTGATAGGAAAAAAGATACCTGCAACAGCAGGAAAATGAGCTAAACTACTTGTATGGTTGTCTTCCATCTGTAACATCTGCTGCTGAAGTGACTCAGGGGCTATTGTGTGTCAGTGGGTTTTACACCGTGGAACATAGATGTATTCAGTTTCAAAGAATTACTTGCACATGGCTGTTTCCCTTGATGTTAACAGCACATCAGTGCCATGATCGGAAGGATGATGAAATGGAATTCTAATGGATACAGCAACAGCACCAGACCTGCCTGCCCAAGCTTTGGGTGAGCTGGGCTGGTGCTGGGGGAGAATGTCTGAGAAGCTTTGGAAGGTGCAGGAGATTCAAGAGGTACAAAACGGTCTTCTTGGAACTGGTGATCTGAATCAGACTATAATCCCTCATCCTCATGTTTAATAGTCACTGGTTTTAATCAGATGCAGGCTTAACTTGCTGTAAACACTGCATTGAACTTTACAGGCATCTCTTGTCTTCAGAGTTCTGAGAATGGTCTTAAAGGCTACGGGGTATTTGATATGCATTTAAAAGATTTTAGACCTGTTATAAAATTTCAGATCATTAACTCATTTTTGACCCTAGTGAGCTGTTTCCTACTTACGCTGATTTGTTATTTATCTTGTTCATTCCATTCCCTTTCACTCTACATTGGGTACCTTGTTACACCTTTGAGAAGTGCGTAATAACAAGTATTAAAAGATCCCCCTACTTGTCTTTTGCCTCCAAACAATGCTGCGATTTGCAGGAAGGAGGGTGTGTGGATACACCACTTATACTCAAGCAGTTATTACAAAGCTGTTTTCACTTAAACACTTGTATTATCATTGCATTGCTTTTGTAACTTTTCAGGGTATGTTACTACTTTTTAGTGAAAAAGCCTTCAGGAGGAAAGCACTGGATAAAACACAGTACCTTACGTATTTGACTCCAAAACAGAACACAAAGGGGTGTTTTACTTCATGACACAGGTCAAATTATGTAATTTCCTGCTATGTACTCATATCTATGTAAACAAGGGGTATGAAGTCTCGGATTTAACATGGCCCTTGTAAAGAGTAAAATAAAGCTGTGTGACCTGGCTAATTTTAATCCTTTTAGCATTCATACTACAGGACCCTAGGAGATGCACTGTGGTCACTTGATTTTAAAAGGGAATGTAGCCACACTTGGCCAGGTCACTTGAAGCGTGAAACACAAACTTCAGCTGCTTTTGTCTTTTGTTTTCTTACCTAGCCATTTGCTTTTTCAAAAGCGTTAATCCAGGAATTACCAACATTTCCTCATAGCAACCAAATGCATTTCTGAACCTTACTTTTGGATTCAACATGGGGTTCTGTAGGAAATGCCATGCCTTTGAAGCTGGTATTTGTCAGCTTTCCAGGCTGAATAACTATAGTAAAGACACGGGGACTAAAATGTGTTTTATTTATGCAGCACCAGTACAGCAGTTGCCAGTATAGAATCCAGGATCTTTGGGTAAATCATACATGTGGTGCAGATTTTTAAATGCCCCAAAAGGAATTCAGAATCCATTTTTCATCTGTTTGGACAAAATTTGGGTCCTTAGTCCCTCTTCTCTGCTTTTTATTCTAAAATAGAGCGAGAAATCTTTTACCTCTGTGACAGTAAAACTAGAAATAAATTACTGCAATCAAAGAGGAGACTTAGATGGCCCAGGAATGAATTTGAGATTCTTAACTTAGTTTGACCAGATCTGTTAGGACACCTCAAATGCAGACTACAGCAAAAGGGTGTTTCCAATGACATTCAGGGTCTACAGACCCAGTGGAAGCGATCTGAAAATCACTATGTGCAGCAGACTTGGAGGACTGGCTCTTAGATCTCTTTGGAGGCTGCACTTCTTGATTTGTTCTCAGTCCCTTGTGATAGGAAAGTTTACCTCTGGACTTCACTGTGTTCCCAGGCTGGTAACTCTTTTAAACACATGCTGTCCTCAAGAAAATGCTCCAATTCACAATAGAACACGAAAATATACTATTGCCTGGGCTTCCCTTGAAAGTGGTTCAGAAAGAGCAGCAATTAGGAGACACAGTTGTCTTGTTTCCTAAGGATAGTGGAAGAAACTGGTTTCTTAACATAATTTCGTGTCCTCTGAGAAATGCTCTCATTGTGATCAACTGAACAGTAA